AACACATGTGCTAATGCAAGATTAATTAGGCTTAATAAATTCGGCTCGCGGATTACTGACGGATTCTGTAATTTATTTTTTTATTAGTATCTGAACATTTCATGTAAGAGCAACTCCAAGAGCAATAGTAAATTTGGATAGGTAATCGGCTCTCCAAAATAACTTAGCTTGTCGAAGTATGAAAGTTCTGCAACAGCTTTTCTAAAACCAGCTCGCTATTTGTTTTCTAACCTGTCGCTAGTCATCAGGCCTACATTGAAGTGCAACGGCATCACTTTGGAGCACACCGTCGAACACCTTCATGGCATGCCTTGCTTCTCGTCGAAGCATCATGCCTCGCTGCTAGAATAGGCCGCCGCCTCAGTGTGCTTGTGCGGGTCGAGCGTGAGCAGATCGATGACGTTTGTGTTCGTGACGGCGATAGCTCCATGTTTGCGACGCCATCTGCCTCCAGCTTCTCTACGCCACTACGGACGAGATGGCCGGCCGTCGAGCACCTCGTCACAGACCATCTTCCAAAGCCTGAGGCCTGAGCTAAAACATTGCGGAAGCACCAGAGCTCCACTCGAACATGTGCACTTCCTTGGGACCGTGTTGCTTGGCGGCAGCTGATGTAGTACGCACTGCTTGCTCGTCGAAGCTCGACGTGGCCACAGAGTCGACTGTGGGGTGCAAAGAAAAGAGATCCGCCACCCCGACATGCGCACAGGCGCGCTATGCAGTAGCGCGGCGCCGGCGACACAGAGATGAAGTCGGCATGTGCGAAGCTGGATGCCTGGATCCCTAGGGGTGGCGTTCCGTGACGATGACGAGGTGCATCCTGTCCTGCCCATCTTCCCATTTGGCAAGCGAGGGACGCTGGCTATCTATGACGAGCGAGACTCAAGGAATAGCTTGTGGCTATTTTTACAAAGCGAGATAGATAATCTGTTGGAGGTTTGTTTTACACCAAATTATCTAAATGGGACTATACATGTCCGGATGATAAGTCTCTTGGAGTTGCTCTAACACCTCCACGTGACACTCTAAAACTTTACACACTAAATTTAAACAAGGCCTAAGTATCCTTTGCTCAACACTCGTATTCCCACTTCTTAATCATCGTGCTATTGCTAGTGAACACATTACCGTACTGATTTCACGAACCGTCTAGCTTGGTAGCAAAGTCAACATTTCTTCAAACACTTGCCTATTAAAGCACCTGCCAGCGTACGTGACCAGTAATTTTAAGAGATATAAGTAAGTGTTATATGTACACGTTGAGGTTTTTTTTTTGTCAGTAATGATACTGGTGGGTAATTCGGAATTGTATACAGACTACTTGTAGTATAGCGGCAGACGTTAGGATGTTACTTTAGGCTATTTGTATAGTTAAAAAAGATAATTTAGATACAAATTAGGAGATTACTTTAGATTCTTTTTATGCAACTGTATAAGTGGATAGTTTAGAGTAGATTTAAAGTGTTACTTTAGATTATATTTTAATAGGACAATATTTTGGATGTAGATTTGGCGTTGTTGCTCTAGGGAAAAAAACATAATAGATCTGATGACTTTTTTTTTTTGAAGAAAAGAACTGATGACTGTTAGTATAAGTGGTTCGCGGATGATTCTGGCTGTTTATGTGTTTCTAGCAAAAGCATATAGGGTTATCAATTTTTGCTATGCATCTCGTGATAATTAAGGCCCTGTTCACTTGTCCTATAATTCAAACTTTTCAGTTTGTTTTTTCAGCCAGAACAGTATTTTTTCCTCACAACAAATCAATTAGAATAGTATTTCGACTTGTTTTTTCAGCGAAGCGAACGGGGCCTAAGGTGGTTGCTCGATAAAGAAATCCCCAACTAGCAATAGTAGGTTGTTCTTTTTAATATCAAACTCACATCCATCGTAGCTACATTGACACCGAGCTAACATCGTCCTAGGCAACAAAAAAAGGTCGTCGTGGCATCCAAAGATGTGATAATTCGTCCATGTTATCTTGGTTATCTATGTGGCCTCTAATTGTTGGTGATTAATACTCCTAAAGCCTGATCCGACGCTGGTCGATACTACTCTCATGTAACAGTGTATCGATGGTCCAAAAGCCACGATCTACACGTAACACGAGGACCACAGCTTTTTCCGCATTCCTGAGGAGATTGACGAGATCGGTTTCCCGGCTTTCTTCTTCAAGAAATTTGCAGTTTGCATGTACCACATGGATGGCATGTAGGCAAGGCAGGTCACATTGACAGCACATGCAATGCAGCCAAGTGTGACAGGAAAAGAAAACGGGGCAGACGGAGCCACTCCCCCGCGACTACTTCCGTGTGTGTTGCCTCGCTGCTGACTGTGCGCTGCGTTCTCTGCGGCGCATGGCATGGGGAATCAATCCTGCTCTCGTTAAGGCCGTGGCGCCACCCCACTTCTGTGATGCTCTCCTTGGCCGTAGCGCGGCGCGGAGCGGATGGGTAGCCGAACGCAGAACGCCCGAGCGAGTGAATACGGGGGAAAACAATAAAGATAGGGGGAAGCCGTGGGGTGGGGGGGGTGGAGCAACGGATGGCCGGATGGGCAATAAAGAACGGCGGGGTCAGGGTCAGAGGGCGGCAGCGGCAGGGCAGGCGGGGAGAGGGACCCGAGGCGCGACACATGGAGCGCACACCGCATCGGCAGCGTCGCGCCACACGCAGGCCGCCGCGCCGCCCCAGCCCGCCAGCCAAGGAGGATCCCCGGTTCTGGTCGAACCGAACCACCCCCACCCCACCCGAGACGAGGCGAGGCGAGGCCGCAGACCCGACCCAACCCAACCACAGGCACCAGCTGACGACCTGCACCGCCGCCCGCCGCTTCAAACGCCCTGCTGAGCTCACCCACGCTCACCCCCACCTCACCTCACTCCGGGTCCGGGGTCAGGTCAGGCCGTCCGGGCGCGGGGCTCCCGCCTGCCAACGCCCACCTGCTTCACCGATGCGGCGAAACGGAAGTCCTCCCTGTGCCCTGTCTCCACGCGCCGATGCATGTGGCTGCTCGCCGGGCACCAACGACTCGGCGTCGCTCCTCACGCGCCGCGGCAGACGGGAACTGGCTCTGGCTGGCCAGGCCAAGGGCGGTGCGGTTCCCTATCCGGGAAATGTGGCAGTAGGGCGCGCAGCGCTGCCCGATCCGAGCAGTTTTTGCTTCTGCGGGGAACATTTCCCGCATGTACTACAGTTGCAAGGCGGAAAGCCTTTTTCACCGATGCATCATTGGCATTGCACGGTGTGTCTTTCCCCATCCCGAACGATTTTTTTTTCTAGATTCGCTGTACAATACTCCTGCGTGCGTTGAATTTGAATACCTGGCTTTTTTTCCTTTACGACAGAAGATTGGGTTTGAATCTTTGGGTGGTGTTGTATTCAGGGCTAAGGATAGGTTAATAGATGGATTGTTACAATCTACTAGTGTTAAGATATTAAAAGCTCTTTATACAGACTGTCCGTTTGTTCCAACTTCCTACTTACAGTAAAAACCACCGTTACAATGAGAAAACTGAAATGAGGGCAGACAGATTTTGCAAGCTTTAAAAGTCATATGAAAATAAAAGCAAGCAACAGTACTCCATCGTTCATCTGCATACGACTACGAGGTAGTAGTAGTATAGTACTCTGTCGAGGTAGTACTCGGTACGGGTATTATTAATATCTCATTCTGACTGTACTCTCCCCGGACGATACACAGTTCAGTATAATAACAAAATAAATAAATAAAAACTATGTTAATCCTTCTTAATTGTCAAGAGTTAAATAATTCAAAATTTTAATTCTAAATAAGTTTATTATTAAAATAAATTTTAATATTCCGTTGTGTATGGGACGGTGAGAGCGCTACCAAACGTCGGCCCCGTTCAGCTGGCTTAATTTTGGGCGAAACTGGCTGAAAATACTGTTACGGCGGTAATGTGAGACAAAAAAAAAACTGTTACCGCTGGGAAAAAAAAGCCAACCAAAGCGTATTTAACCGAACCGGGCCGTACAGTGAATTAGTAAAAGCGAACGCAAGGATGAAAAAGAGGAGGAAACTCCGCCCTTGGCCCTTGCAATGTCCTTGTTTTTCGCAGGCTTTTCCCTCAGAAAAGCTGGCGGTAAAAAGGAGGAAAAGCCTCCCACGGCATAGCCATAGCCATTGATGCTTTTCATTGAAGAGGTGAGCCTGCCTGCCTGACTCCGTCTGCGTGGGCGCGCATTCGCAGCACTCATGCGGTCAGCTCTGCCCCTGCGAATACTACTAGCACCGGCAGGCAGGGTCGTAGACTAAAAAAATAATTAATTACACACGATACATATTATATATAAGATGATTTTTTTAAGTCTAATTAGACTATGATTAGACAACGTAGTGCTCCATTAACATATATACTAATAATAGATTAATTAGACTTAATAAATTCATCTCGTGTATTACCGACGGATTCTATAATTTGTTTTTTTATTAGTATTCGAACACCCAGGTAACACCCCACGTGACATCCAATTAAGGCCCTGTTTGTTTAACTATCCTAAAAACTTTAGGAGCTAAAATCTAGATAAATTTTGCCTAAAGAAATCAGACACCTCATCCTAAAAGCTCCTAGAAACTTTAGAAGGAGCTAAAAACTTTAGGAGCTCTAACCCCTCCTAAAAGCTCATAAAGTCCCTTTTGGACCCCCGCTACCTCTCCCGACCGCACGCGTTTCAAACCCCCCTATCCCCACTGTTCCTTCTCTACACGTTCCTTCTCTCACCCCCGCCGCCCCCATCCCCCAGCGCTCTCTGCCTCCTCCATGCCGGTGCCCGCCGGATCCTCCGCTGGAGTTCCCTCACACCGTCGGATCCGCCGCCCCGCTCCCTCGCGCCACTGGATCCGTCGGCTCTGCCGCCACCCATGCTCCATCCTGTGGCCCAGCTCCGGCGCAGCCTGCACCTCATCCCCCACCCCACGCGCCTCCGCTGGTGAGCTCCATGCGGCGGTGGCTCGTCCTCGGCGTTGGCACCCCCGCCATGGCGGCGCTGGCGGCCGCGGCGCCGCCGGCGGTGCTGCGGGATGGGGCGGCCACGCTGTTCGTTACCGCGGGTGCCTACGCCCAGGTGCGCACCTTCGACGTGCTCACCGAGTGCCGGCTCGTCGAGAAGGTCTCGGCCTTCGCTGATCCCCCCAGTATTTCTTGTCTTGTATGAAACGAAGTTTTAGCTCAAAATCTGTGCTATCCGACGTTCTGTTCATGTCACCCTGGCCACTATTCAGGTATGCCATTCCACCGCATGGAGCATCAGAATGTTCACGTTTGGAATGGCACAGCTTAAGAAAAGGGTGCATGTTCACCAGGCGCATGCAAAGGAGGAGGAGGAGGAGGGGCAAGGAGGAGGGATGCATGGTCTTTTTGTAGGGTATTTATTGCTTTTAGTTAATTTTAGGAGGTGGAACTAAATATATTTTTAGGAGGTTTTAGGACAGTCCTAATGAAAGAAACTAGTAGTTTCTATAATATAGATACCGCACCAAAAAAGTATTGATTTTCAACCCATAGTTTCTATGAGTAATAATTATTTTCTCTTTCTCTCTCTCAACTCTATCTTCTTTCTCCAATGAGAGTGCGACACAAGCTCCCTAGAAACTGGTGGTTTCTTCCCAATGATGATTTCATGGTTTTTTGGTGCATTAGGTCAAGAGTAGACCTGATTTCTTCATGAAGAAACCATTTCTATGATTTTTACTCTTTTTCTTCATTAATTATGTTGTCATGTTAGCATTTTATCTACGTGACAAGTCATTTAATTAGAATAGAAAGCATCATCAATATATCATTGAAACTGCCCTTAGTCAGCTTCCTAAAAGCTCTGTAAAACTTTTAGCTCCTAAAGTTTCAGGAGCTTGAACCAAACCGGCCCTAAATAAGGCCCGAAGCAACATCCAAAGACCCCTATGACAGCCCGGGCCCGCACGGCCCACCGTACGGCAGAGACGCTCCTCCTCCATCTCTCCTCCTGAGTCCTGCCTGACCTTCTACTTCTATATAAAAGGCCTCAGGCTTGCTCGCCCTTTAGCACACAAGCCACCGCTCCGCGCTCCCTGTCGTCTCCCCCGGCCCCCGCCCGCCCCGCGCGGCCGTTTTACCTTTTTCCCACCGCCCCCCTCTCTCCGGCGGCGACGACTCCTGCGGAGATACAGAGAGATGAGGACGAGGAGCGGGTCCCGGTATTCTAACGGCGGCGAGGTGGCTGCCTTGGTGGGGCAAAAGAGGAAGAGGTCGGCGTCGGCCGTCGCCGGAGAGTGCGCCTGCGACGGTCGCAGGAAGCGGCTTGCCGGAGGTCCGGACTACCTGGACGCGCTCCCTGATGACCTTGTCCTCTCCATCCTGACGAAGCTCGCCGCCGCCTCCTCGGCGCCCTCCGACCTGCTCTCCGTCCACCTCACGTACGTCCGCTCGCACATCCTTTGCTTCGTCTTCAACTCCTCGTGTTTCGTCGGACGGCGAACGCTCCCTCTCCCTCGCGCGATGGAGTAGCGGTCGAAATGCGTGGGGGAGCGGGGGCAGTTTTGCTGTTTGCGGAAACATTGGGGAACGTGTGATAGATAGGGATAAGGCGGAGGTCAAGGATCGTGCGCTGACGTCTTTGGCGTTTGCAGGTGCAAGAGGCTCAACGAGCTCGGCGGCCATGACATGGTGTTCGCCAAGGCGTCGCCGGCTTCGCTGGCCGTCAAGGCGGCGGCGTGGTCCGAGCCGGCGCAGAGGTTCCTCAAGCGCTGCGCCGACGCCGGCAACCTGGAGGCCTGCTACATTCTAGGCATGGTACGCCACGCGTCCACAACCCTAATGAGTTGAATGTAGAGTCGATCGGATCGTTTCCGTTCTTCTCGGCTCAAGCGCCGCACGGCATGATGGATGAGTGGCTGACCTGGAGCGCATGCATGCTTCTGTCTTCCCCTGCAGATTCGGTTCTACTGCCTGGGCAGCCGCAGCGGCGGCGCGGCGCTGCTGGCGAGGGCGGCCGTGGGCGGGCACGCCGCGGCGCTCTACTCGCTGGCGGTGATCCAGTTCAACGGCAGCGGCGGCGCCAAGTCCGACCGCGACCTTCGCGCGGGGGCGGCGCTGTGCGCTCGCGCGGCCGCGCTGGGCCACGTCGACGCGCTACGCGAGCTCGGGCACTGCCTCCAGGACGGCTACGGCGTGCGTCGGGACCCCGCGGAGGGCCGACGCCTTCTGGTCGCCGCGAACGCACGCGAGCTCACCCTCGCGCTCTCCGCGGCCGCCGCGTCGCGCCACGCCGTCGCCGCTCTGCCCTTCGCCGCCGCGGGCGGCGTCGGCGTTGTCGGCGGTGGTGGTGGCGGGTGCCCGCTGCTGTCGGACTTCGGGTGGAGCCTCCCCGAGGCGGAGCCCCACGCGGCGAACCAGTTCATGGTGGACTGGTGGGCCTCCCGCTGCGCCGCCCAGGCGGGCGGGAAGAAGCCCGGCGGCGACAGCAGCGGCGACGGCGCGGAGCTCCGGCTGTGCTCCCACGTGCGGTGCGGGCGGCGCGAGACGCGTCGGCACGAGTTCCGGCGGTGTTCCGTGTGCGGCGCGGCCAACTACTGCTCCCGCGCGTGCCAGGCGCTGGACTGGAAGCGCGCGCACAAGGCGCAGTGCGTGCCCATGGACCGGTGGCTCCTCGCCGGCGTTGCAGCCGTTGGCGGCCTCGGCGAGGCCTAGCAACAGCAGCAGTGAGGAAACGCCGTTTCTCCCAACGGCTGACATGACGTACCAGCACTAGTCCCCTACACCAGGCCCACCACGGCTCCGCCGCAGCGGCCGTGCCGGCCGTCCCACCGTACACTGTGCGTAGCGAAAGGCGTTTTTGCTGTTTTTTCTCACTTTTCCACTGCAGCAGCTGGATGAATTGAATGAGGTTTCTCGCTGCCCTTTGGGCCCGGGTGTCGTCTTGTCAGATGTACGTATTCTACTAGGAAAAAGCAGTAGAGATCCGGCTGCGCCTCTTTTTTTTTGTTATCTTCTGGTATTTCTAAAGCGTAGAATTCCAATTTCCAAGCCATTTTGTAATGGAGCTTTGGAGTTGACGTTTCCATGCGTTTTTCTGTCGCCTTGTGTGTTGGTGTTTTGGATGGACGCTGTGGAGGTACGGCCAAACGGCAGTTCGGTTCGTGCGCTTCCGGTTTTTATTAATCGGTGTGCGGACGAGTGTGATTAGCAGCGGCAATCGGTTGGGGTGTGTGCTGTGCGGCCAAACTTTTCCGTCTCGGGGAGTGCGAGGCTTGGAGCTTTCTCTCTGGCTGCTCATGCTGTTGGGAGCGGGGGCGGTGACCCCCTTTAGGCCTCGTTTAGATTGCGAAAAAATTTCAACCCGATGAATAAGTGGGGTCCAATCGTGGGGTGACTGATTCTCTCGTTTTCCAGTAAACTGGGTTTTTTTTTACCTACATTTAATACTCCAAGCGTGTGACTCTCTTCCTTAGTGGGGTTTTGTACTCTTTCCTAGGGCTAGGAAAAGGCGCGCCAAGATGATGAGTGCCCTGCCTTTACTGCCTTTACTCCCTTTACTGCCTGCCCGCACGGTAATGCATACGGGAAGGATACGTCCTACTGGCTATGCTACTCCTACGTCCTAGTACATGGCAGCCTAAACAAGCGGCCTGTGCCTGTGGCAACATGTTTTTTTTCTTTTTTGCAAAACTGCTGGTAACAAAGGAGTATTTTACTAAAATTTCTTCCTAAAGTTGCTGCATGGAACACCCCTAGGATGCTGGAGGGCAAAGCTGCGTGAAGACCCATTTGGAGGTCAAGCAAAACCTACCCGTGGAGTACTAGCAATATAATTCCAGACAGAAGACAGGACCTCCATCATCAGCCACAAAAAGTTGGACTGTTCAAAATAGACGGATAAAAAAAAGCGGTACTGTGGCCGTTGTTGCTTGCCCGCATTCCACCATGCAGCAAAAAAAAACAAAGGGGCAAGCAACAACGGCCACAGTAGCAGCAGTAATACGAAACTTGGAGGCTCTGAACACCACCGCATCACGCACGCGCACGCGATGCACGAACCGACAGGAAAATCCGCGAGGAGACGGAGAAAAAAGAAAGAAAAGAAGGGCGTTGGCGCGTCACTGGACGTTCCAGCACCGGCGGCAAGCGCCGCGCCGCCTCGCGCCCTCCACCCCTCTCCCCGCCCGAAGCGCTGCGACGCTGCGTGCGCTGGAGACCTGCCGAACCGTGCGACGTGACGGCGGCCCCCGGGCCGCGGCGGCAATGGACCGACGCAACGCGTGGTGTTCGAGCGACGCGACACCTGCGGCAGCGCAATTCGCTGCAGCGGCACGTATCGCCAATCAGGAGCCGCTGCGTGCGTGCGTACGCCCTCGTAGTATATTCCGATGACGATGAGATTTCCTGGGCGGGGCGGCGTGGCCGAATTTCTTTTTTGTTTTTTAGCCAATTTTTTTAATTTTTCACAGATATGTTTATGGAGGTATACTTTTAAAATCTGGACCTTTAGCTCGGCGCTATCGTCGGTGGCGCCGAGCTTACATGTCTCGGCACCATAGATTTTGGCGTCTAGGTCTTGGGCTCGACGCAGACGTGACGGTGAGTTGGCAGGCACCTTGGTGCCGTAGATCTTGACGCCGAAAACAACGTCAAGATCTATGGCGCCGAGGTGGTGTTTTAACCCGGCGTCCAACCTTTCTCTTCTTTCTCCTCCCTCTTAGGTTTTTTCTCTCCCCACTTCGCCCTACCTCACGAATCGGCATATTAGACATTGAAAACTTTAATTTGATCCGTAGATCTTCGAGAGCAAGGTATCCTCGCTCCCTCCTAGTTTTTTTTTCAAGTCAATTCGGTATGTATTAGTCGGATTTTCAACTTAAGAATCGTCGTTACTTAGGGTTTCATACAATTTTAATATTTATATTATACAACTGTAGGATGCCAAGGCTTGAAAAAGCTACCAAACCAAAGTAACATCAACGCACGTTGTAATGATATGGGTTCATTGTTGTGGATCAAATGGGAAACCCTAGGTGTAAGATTTAATGTTAATTATTTTCGGTTCTTAGAACGAAAATGGCTAAATTGTAGTTATGATTGGATGACCGAAAATGTCTTCGACCCATTGCCTCTGTCTAGTGGTGTTCCAGTGCCCATATGCTTTTGCGGCGTTCCTTGCAAGGTAGCCAAGTCCGATGATGAGTGAAAGCATTTAGGCCCCTAGTTGGGTTTCGGTGATTAATGACGACGCGAGATTACTATAACTAACGTGTGTTTTGCAGAGGCAATTTGAGTTAGGTCATGGTAATGACAATTGATTAGGCAATC